AGATATTTATTAAACAAACTATTTCAATCCTTTGATGGCACAGATGAGAGCAAGGTCCGTGATCGACTGCTCTGTGCTTGGACTACTCTCTGTCTGGACTCGATCGATGCTCTCTCGCTCGATGAGTAGAGTCTTCTTGTACAGTGCGTGGCTGATTGTGGAGCTTCACAGCGATTTAAAGGTGAGGAGCGGGATTCTCCTTTCAAGCATTGTTGTCGTGTTTACTTCGTTCACTGCTTCGTTTACGTCTACTGTGTGCAGTGAGACATGTTTACTGTTAAGACTCTACAAGGCTCCGGTCAACACAACAACTAGCAACAACAAAACCTTAGTTGATTAGCAATGATAGCCTGCTAGCTAGCCTAAACAGAAGTCAGGTTTCTTTATTTCTGCCAGTTTTAATAAACAGACATATGAGATAGCAGTGTCGTTAGGGCTATAGCATTGTTTTAGATCCCACACTGTTACTGAAGAGAGGCTACGGTAACGTTACATGTTGTAAGATAGTTTATACATAAACCACATCTTTATAATCCTCTGTGGATGTATTTGTTGTTGTGAGAGTTCTCTTATGCAGCTTTCCACACTTGTCTTGTTTTGCAGTCAGCATGGGTCGACGCTCGTCAGACAGTGAGGATGGCAGTCGGAGCAGGAAAAAGAGAAAACAGCGTCGACGTTCATCCTCCTCTTCGTCTTCGTCTTCATCCTCCGGGAGCAGGGCGACCTGCAGCAAGAGCCGGAGGTCCACACGCCGGAGCAAGTCTCGATCTAGAGACAGAGACAGAGACAGGAGGTGAGACAGAGACAGGAGGTGAGACAGAGACAGAGACAGGAGGTGAGACAGAGACAGAGACAGGAGGTGAGACAGAGACAGGAGGTGAGACAGAGACAGAGACAGGAGGTGAGACAGAAACAGGAGGTGAGACAGAGACAGAGACAGGAGGTGAGACAGAGACAGAGACAGGAGGTGAGACAGAAACAGGAGGTGAGACAGAGACTGAGACAGAGACAGAGACAGACAGGAGGTGAGACAGGAGGTAGGAGGTGAGACAGAGACAGAGACAGAGACTGGAGGTGAGACAGAGACAGAGACAGACAGGAGGTGAGACAGGAGGTAGGAGGTGAGACAGAGACAGACAGGAGGTGAGACAGAGACAGGAGGTGAGACAGACAGAGATTGAGACAGAGGTAGGAGGTGAGACAGAGACAGGAGGTGAGACAGAGATAGGAGGTGAGACAGAGACAGAGACAGACAGGAGCTGAGACAGAGACAGGAGGTGAGGCAGAGACAGAGACAGACAGGAGGTGAGACAGAGACAGAGACAGACAGGAGGTGAGACAGAGACAGGAGGTGAGACAGAGACAGACAGGAGGTGAGACAGAGACAGGAGGTGAGACAGAGACAGAGACAGGAGGTGAGACAGAGACAGAGGTAGGAGGTGAGACAGAGACAGGAGGTGAGACAGAGACAGACAGGAGGTGAGACAGAGACAGGAGGTGAGACAGAGACAGGAGGTGAGACAGAGACAGAGACAGGAGGTGAGACAGAGACAGGAGGTAGGAGGTGAGACAGACAGAGACAGGAGGTGAGACTGAGACAGAGACAGGAGGTGACAGAGACAGGAGGTGAGACAGGAGGTGAGACTGAGACAGGAGAGACAGGAGGTGAGACAGAGACAGGAGGTGAGACAGAGACAGAGACAGGAGGTGAGACAGAAGGTGAGACAGAGACAGGAGGTGAGACTGAGACAGAGACAGGAGGTGAGACAGAGACAAAGACAGGAGGTGAGACTGAGACAGAGACAGGAGGTGAGACAGAGACAGGAGGTGAGACAGGAGGTGAGACTGAGACAGGAGGTGAGACTGAGACAGGAGGTGAGACAGAGACAGGAGGTGAGACAGGAGGTGAGACTGAGAGTGAAAAACATGCTGAAGAGGATGAGCACTGAACAAGCAGCTGAAGTGTGCTTGTGTTTTATTTCCAGCGGCTCTGTTGCTGATATTAAGTGTCAACAAAACACATTCTGTTCTTTAATGTCTTGTCCTCTCATGTTGGCTTATTGCACAGCAGCTGACTTGATTTGAAGTTAACCAAATGGTCTATGTGTTAAGACTAACCGTGTGACTTAAAGTGAAACTCCAGGAGCCTGATGGGATTTTTATTTGGGAAAACTAGGCTATAATTGAGCTTCGCTGTGTCCACTGGCTGATATGAATTGTAAACAATATAGAAGTTTTACATCACAATATACAATTTTTAATAATTTCTTATACTTGTGTCATCTTTTTTAACATCAAGCATTTTGACTTGTCAAAGGACAAGGACAGATATAACAAGAAAAGGAATGACATTAATCCTAAATCTGTTTTACATAAGTATCCCAGTTTGCTGTTTGTTGTGATAATTTTGGTGTTGTATTGCTATGTCTTTAAGACAAATTTGTGCATCCCAAGTAAAAACACCCATGGGTTAATCAATGGGTGTGTTTTCTGGGAAATGACTGATATGCTCAGTAGTCTGCAAGTGTTGCCTCAACAGGCAGTAACTTTATGGAAAAGCCTGAGATAACTAAAGATCATCACGTAAAGCTCTTATACTGAACAAAAAGAATTGCTGATTTAATGTTGACTGTTGTTTATCCCACAGTCTTTCAATTTTCAACATCTCTCTCTCTCTCTCTCTCTCTCTCTCTCTCTCTCTCTCTCTCTCTCTCTCTCTGGGACATGTTGGAAGGGAGCCACAGTTTGGATTTGAACCTGGGACGTCCGCCCCTTGTTCCTACCTTTATTACTATAACAGGAGACATCTTTCAGGATGGACTCTCATAATGATTCATATTAAAGTGAAGGACACCCCCCCCCCCCCCACAACCCAGCTAGGAATGAGAAAAATAGAATTCTATCGATGTCACTGCCATTATTCAATCAGCTTCTTGATTTTCTTCTTTAATCCCTTATTGATTCATGATACATTTTAGTGTGGGAAAAAATGTCGGCCTCCATTAATTTTTTAGCATCGATGCAACAGTTTTATTATTAATGTTGCATGGAAAGATGTTTCAGTTCTTTCCTTGATTTTCCGTTCACTTAAATATAATAACTTTACAGATAATGCAACTAACACATTTGTTACTTTCACTGTCAAATAATAAAAAAAAAAAAAAAGGCAGACACATCCCTGAAGTGGGTGCTGGATCCAAAAGCAAAACAGATCTGCACATTAAGGAGCTCCCTTTTGAAGGATTTATTAACATGTAACCTCAGACCTCAGACTTCTTTCAATGTGAAAAAAAGAGGAATGCTTTTAGTTAGGGGCAGACAGATAGATGTGTTTCAGGGCCTGAGATAACCGATATTTGGAACCGATATAAATTTACAGTAGATGTGAAAAGCTCTCTGCTAAAATTTATAATTTTGAATATTACAAACTTCAACACAAGACTTTTTAAATGAGATTCTCCTCCTGCTCTAAGCTGCTCTCGTCTCTGCATGTTAGCGGCTTCAGTTTTGATTGGCTATTACTTGCATGATGTCTAGCCAATCAGTTAGTGTTGTAGGCGGACATTAGGTTAGAGACAGTGGTGAATGAAAATAGATCCAGAGGGAAATGCTGCATTCATGTGGTGTCGGACAAATCGGAAAAACGAGTTTCCAGTTTGTAAAATGCACACGAACACCTGCTCAAGTCGGAACGACACCGCGGAAAAGAATGAGGTGCCCGACTTGACGTCATATTCGTCATCAAATGGGGGGCAAAATATGTTTTGTTAATGTTAACATACATTTCACTGATCTTCTTCGTACAATCAATGTTTTTTTTTTTGTTTTTTTGCTGTTGTTACAACATTCCGACTTTCGGAACTGAAAGTCGGAAGATGGACTTCCCAACTCGGAAACTTGGACCACCCGAGGGGCACATGAATGCAGCAAATGACACACCTGCAGGGAAGCCAAAGTAGTGCACTTTTTAATTAATTAATTAATTAATTAGATCGGAGATCCGTTAATAAAACACAGATAATTAGCCAAATGACAAATATCGGCCGCCAATAATTGGCCAGGTGGATAATCGGTTGACCCATACTCTTTAAGTGTGAAGATGCACGAGTATGACATTTCTTTTTTTTGAATTCACAACAGTCAGAATAACATGTCAGGACTTATAAAAGGGATCACTTGGATAAATTGTGCTATTTGGAATCAGTATGTGATTCTTAACCCTGTCTTAAACTGTTGTAAATGAAGGCGAGAAAAGACTCCGCTATGACGAGACGTAGATCTAAAATGATTAACTTTTAATGAAGCCTGCACTGTTTCAGTCGCTCAATTGACTCACTAACAAAACATTTGAATTACTAACTACTGTTAAAGATGATACTGGCCTTTTACATTATTTGTTCTAAATAGAAGTCCTTTCACATCTTTCACATGGTTTGAGGTTTAGGATAGACATGGCGCTTTTAGATGGCTCATTTGTTTCTAGTCTCAAAAACAAAGTGCAATCTTACAGTAAGGTGTGCCAGAGACATGATAGGTCACAATCTTGTTCAAGTTTTCAAAGCTTCTCCTCGTGTTTACAAAATACCACACTTTGTAATTAAGCAGCGACGGTCGTACTCAGACATCTTCACAAGTAGCTGGACCTGACCTCCATCCATCCACAGCTGCCACTGGCTGTGTGCGGCTGCTCAGACAAGGCCAGTTGATAGTAATTATTTATGAGGCTTGGTCAAGGTCCATTACTGCTGATTGGAAGTCATTGCCTGTCTGTAAAAGGGGAGTGGGGCGGTGTAAACCCTGGGACCACAGTCCCTCATCTATTAGCCATATGTTTGGATCAATTAACCAAGACCTTGTGTGAGTGTGTTTGTTGTGTCAAACTTGTTCTGTAAATAGGCTCATACGAGAGAGGACACACATTCTCTGGCATTTTCACTTGCACACATACAGATGGGGGGAAAGAGCCCTCACATGTGGTAAATCAGAGGCGTTTGTGTGAGTCATGAAATGTGTAGGGTGTTCATGTGAAGAGCTCCTGTGTTAACCAACACTTTTCACTCACAAGCGTCGGAGCGATTGTGTGTTAATACATTGAGTCCGCGCAGGGTTTAAAGAGAATATGTGAGCTAACACCAACCTCTTGGAAAAAAAAAAAAAAAAACCCTCAGCTCACTACTGTGTGTTTTCTCTGTAATGTGTGAAGCGGCTCTACGATGGCTGTGGAAGTTATTTCATAAGGGCCTCGCTCATGGGATCCAGCCTTTGGAATACTAATGGATCTTTCCTGCGCTCGTCTAAGTGGTACAAATCTGGTTTGATAGTTCAGCCTCTCTGTTATTTGTATTGCTTTCCTTTTTCTTCTCATCCCCTCAATCTTGAATAGCTCCCATAGGACTGCGTTTTTTTTTTTTTTTTCTTTTTCATGTGTGCTAAAAAGATTGGGGTGTTTTTGGCTTTGGTGAAAGATTTAAAATAAAGAATATTGCTCAAACTGTTTGCACAGTAGATGAGGGGGAGGTTTGTGCATTTACATTCAGCCCCATGGATGCCTCCTGCTACATGATATCAATAGGAACGCGGTGTGAGCAGTGTTTGGAAAATAGAAGCTACACACACTGCTGTAGCCACATTAAAGAGCAGCAGAGCACCAAAGGGCCCCCGTGGAGAACCGTGGAGCGGCCTGCGTGGCTCTGCTGCTTTCGGGCTGTAGATGAGCGCGCGCACTAATGCAAAGTAGCCGTCAGCTGTGCTCATGTTTTGGAGGTTGTCTGGGACATTTGGATAGATTCACTCTTGAAATAAACAGCTAAACAAATTAGGAATACAGTATTCACTTATGTGGGAGGGATAAACTTCCAAAGATGGTGTCTGATTTGATTTGGTAAATGAAGACAGAGAATGTTTATTGATGATAAACTAACAAACTGTACAATGGAGTTTACTGACGATGGTAAAATGATTACCAATTACAATGTACAGTTTATTCTCAGGGACTTTATGTGCTCCTTTTACCCCGTGAACCACACGGAGCATTCAAAACACATTTACATGTTTCACTGATGCAGATTTGCCAAAAACACAAAATGATTAATTGCAGAAACAATAACCCTGCTGTCTGATTGATGTTTAGTTTTGAGGATTCTGCCAGCAATAGAAATTAAATTTGTTTGTTTTTGTGTCTGTGTGCGCCAGGAGGAGAAGACATTCCAGCAGCAGTTCTTCCCGCAGTTCATCTCGCAAGAGGAGGAGTCGCAGTGCAGAGAGAGAGAAAGGGAGGAGCCGTCGCTCACGCAGGTCCCGCAGCAGAGACAGAAGGTAACACCATCTCTCCCTCACACACACTTTCACCATTTGTTGTTTATTTGTTCTCTTAAGTCTTCAGTCTTTTACCAACACAAGACTTTTCTTAATCAGTGAAAGTTACAAAACGTATATTCCTAATGTTTAAATGACACTGAAGAAAAGGTGGAGAGATGACATGCAAGAAATGAACTGCGTCACTAAGGAGTGACCAGAAAATTGGACATGAAGCTCTTCTCGCTGTTTGTATTACAAATCAGTATGTGGAATTCCATTGCAGACTTTTCTTATTAAAAAAGCAATAAGACTTTTGGAAGTTTACTTCAGTGTAAACAAACACATCTTTTCGTATTTATGCTTCATGTCATCAGAGGGAGCCACATGGAAACTTGCGTCTTGGCTCTGGATTAGTGTGTCGCGTGTGCATGTACTCGTGTCTCACTTTGCCCTACTATCCGTCTCGCTGTGTGAGTAGTCATCAAAGAGGGACCCACAGAGACAGCAGGTCAAAAACAACACGAGTCCAATCCTCCCCAAATGTCCTCTGGCAGCAGCTCTGCTTTCACTCATTATTGTGATTAAAACTTCATTACCCATACATCCTTAGTTGAATTATTATTATTATAGATGTGGCTTGCCTTTTTTTTTTTTTTCTCGCAAGGGCTAACTTATTCATGCAAAAATAATGTGTACACACCTGCACTGCACTTTTTCTCTCTTTGTCTCAGACAAACTGACATACGCTCACACACACTCGCACGCACACACACACACACAACACACCCGCACACACGCACACACACACAGCCATAGTCAGATGGGTATCCCTTTCAGAAACATAATAGCAAAGTCTCTGTGTGTGGTGCTCCATGTCATTAGCATAGCTAATCTGTTGCTAATGAACCAGTAAACTGTGCTGTTTTTTAAATCCTTCTCACACACACACACACACACACACACACACACACACACACACACACACACACACACACACACACACACATAAAAACATGCACAGACCCGCAATTGAAGAAAAGGTTGTCATAATGTA